TTTTTTTAATATAATATCTTACTTTAAAATGTAAAATTATTATTTTTAATTAATTTTATTTAATATTTTATATATCTTTATCAATTTTAATTAATATTTTATATATTTTTAAAATGATAAAAGGAAAAAACCAATGTCATAGTACAACCTAACACAAAACTCTTAAATGAATCTTTAATTAAATTATAAAAATAAACTAAATTTGATAAACTTCTTTACCAAATTAAGAATAACTAAATCTAAATATTAAGAATTTTCTACTAAACTAATACATGAATGAAAAAACATTATTACTTTCATTTTTTAAGGAAAATTTTTTATATGCATTTTTTCATTCTATGCTAATGTAAAAAGAAAATTTGGCATCAAAATTTAACTACTTCTAGGAAGTTATCAATACTAACTTATTTTTATAATTTGATCAAAATATAACCACTAACACTAATCAAATAAGTAGTAAATTCTTCAAATTCTCTATCCTTGGTTTTTCGATTGCTCAGGCTTATTTGTTGCTTTGCAAATTTCATTCCCCATCTTCCCAAAGCCAAAATCAATTGAATTTAGCCTTTGGAAGTAAATTCAAAGTTATCCAGCTACAAAAATTCCCACTTCCTCCTTGATGTGCCAGTGCCACTTCCTAAATCCTTGATTATCATCTTTGAATTTACTTATTCCCTAAAAAATTATGGCAACCAATAACTAATCTTCTTTTGCAAATAATCCTTCATCCAACTATTAATATGCATTTTGTTATCTAAAGAACAAACAAATGGTCCAATATGAAAATTTCGGTTTAGTATTAATAATAATTAGCAGAGTCTAATCAAGTAAAGCAAGATTAAAGAATCAATACATAAATAATGAAAGAAAGGGTAAAGAGAAGAATAAGGTAAAATCGACTTGTCATTCTCTATCCAGACTTGGTTTATAGTCAATAATGTATAGCATAATAATTAGCAGAGTCTAATCAAGTAAAGCAAGTTTAAAAAATCAATACATACATAATGAAAGAAAGAGTAAAGAGAAGAATAAGGTAAAATAGACTTGTCATTTTCTGTCCAGACCTGGTTTAAAGTCAATAATGTACAGTATAATAATTAGCAGAGTCTAATCAAGTAAAGCAAGATTAAAGAATCAATACATAAACAATGAAAGAAAAAATAAAGAGAAGAATAAGGTAAAATCGACCTGTCATTCTCTGTCCAGACCTGGTTTATAGTCAATAATGTACAGCATAAAGTTGATGGGTACTAAAAAGGAAAAGGCAAAAGTTGAACTCCTCATGTTCAACAAAGCTTTGCATTCTAGTCCTGCATTGGCATTGAATTTCAATTCGGGTGCACTCATTTCTTTCCAGTCTAGTCTCATTAGAATTTGGAACTGTTGGTCCACAATCACATGCTGGAACAGAGCGCAATCAATTCATGACTTCGCATAATTGCACTGTAGCAAGCTTTTTCCAAGGGTGACTCTTCAGAGTTGTTGGCCTGCACTAATCGTCCTAGTGGGAACACTGAAATCGACAGATAAATGAGATGTAATTTTTTTTAAAGAGGGCAATTAGTACATGCTAGTGGTACCCCAAAAATAGGAAAAGGGATGTCACAAAGTTGTAACACGTAAC